TCCGGCGCTCTCCATGTCGCCGCCAACACTTAATCCTCCCTCCCTTTCTTTCCACCTGTCAAACAATGAGGTAGGTAACTGGGCTAAATGTAAATGGTTGATTACTTCCTTGGATCTATCCTACAGCTGCAGCAAACCACGACACCTCACTTTCTCGTCGGTAATCTTGAGAGCCGATGCACCACACTCACACCACTCCAATACTGCTGCGAATTACCAGTGACCAGCTTCTTGGAGGATTCCCCAAACATTAAAATTAAGGGTAAATCTTTTATTTTTATACACTGATAGTGTATAAATTAGTGGGCATATATAAAATTTGATATTTAAATTCAAATGAATGATGCATGACACATATATATACATATATATCTATATAATTTGATATTTAATTTAAATTCAGATCATATGGCATTCATCCAATTCCTATGATAATGTAAAAAAGATTAATTCTAAAATTAAATGCAATGTAGTGCGTGCATGTGTGCGTGTCTATATATATTAAATGTAGTATATTACTCCCTCCCTTTTTTTATAACTGACGTTTAAGAAATTTGCTCTAGTGTACTTTTATCTATCGTTTTATTATCCCCATACAGTATTAATTATTTTTTCACAATTTTACCATTTTATCTCTCTTTTCCAATACATGGTTCTTAATTACTACTCCTGGCTAGCAGACGGGATCCTCTGTCCAATTTTCTGTGTCTAATTTCCTGTCCAACACAAAACTACATAGTTCCACTTATTCTTGTGGCTGACGTGGCACATAAAAATAAATGTCTGTTTGGCTCCATTATACTTTTGAATCTCTCTTCTTTTTGGATTTCCTTTATTTACATATCTTTATTACAATTCCCAAAATCCTATTACTACCATAACAATTCCCAAGACCTGTTGCCGTGAGCGTCAAGAAGATTTGGGACTTCTTTGCCGATGGTAAGAAAAAAATAATATTCATCTGCACAATTGTTTCTGGCTGACTTACAATGTATCAGTTGTGGATGTTCCTTTGCTTGGCATCAATTTATAAGTTTTTTATGCCGGCTTTCGTCTATGTAGTAGGGACCCATGAAGGAAATATATAATTCCATAAAACCAAAAAATAAAAAAATAAAAATGGCTAAGCATATAATCTTCTAGGCATTGATATCTGAAACAACAATCATCGTGAACCAAATTGCAGCACATATATTTGTTTACCACCGCAATCCGTATGCCTTATAAAATGTGTGTATGTGGGTGAGGTGGTGTTTTTTTCTGGGAAAGGGGGGGTGGTAAGAAAAGAAAACAGCTATTACATCTTAAAATAGCAGAGGTCTCCATGATGTTTAAAGGTTTTCAATTTTTATCCATCACATGGTTTTTCATTCAATTAGCAACTTTGTCAACCAAGCCAATGAAATATGTCAGTTTTTAACCATATTTCCCCAAGAGATGGATTATAAATTAAATGAACACTGTATCAATGAAGACATAATTCTACTTAAAAACAAAAAGAGGAATCAATTTACCAGAATAAAAAATAGATTGCAAAAGGTACAAGAAACACTTTTTCTATCTGAAAATGTTAAAACACAATTTGTTTTCCTTCAAAGAAAGCGAGAAGGACAATTTGTTTTCCTTCACCAATTTTTTAGATTATTCTTTCCGTTAGGCCCAGCTGCAAATTTTGCTTTGTACTTCCAAGGATTTGATTGTCTCTCTGTATGTCTCAAATTTTGCTATGTCTTTCCGTTAGGCTAGTGGTTTGCTTTGGAGGAATTCACGGTGAATGGTTACAATTTGACAGGGCTGTTGCTTGGTGCTTGAGCCAAACAGGCATTTATTTTTATGTGCCACGTCAGCCACAAGAATAAGTGGAACTACGTAGTTTTGTGTTGGACAGGAAATTAGACACAGAAAATTGGACAGAGGATCTCGTCTGCCTAGTTAGGGGTGCAGAGAATTCGAGTAGCTTGAATCGAGCTCGCGAGTAGCTTGATTAGCTACTCGACTCGATCTCGAGCAAATTCGAGTTCGAGTCAATCTCGATCTACTTGCTACAGTAAACGAGCCGATCTCGAGTATTTAGTAGTAAGAAATTCGAGCTCGTCGAGTAGCTCGAGCTCGGTAGCACATATATATTGTATTTTAGTTTATATATCAATTTACTCTTTTAGGTTTGTTAGCTAGAATATTTACGGGCTTAAGCAGTTCCCTGCCAATTAGTAAACAAGGGTGAATAAGTAATTTTGGCTCGAGAATTCTGATGAAATGAGGAAAACTAAAAACGAAAAATGAAAAAGCTTCCGTCGAATTCATCCTTCACAGTTCTTTCTTCTTCTTCGTTCGGCCGTTCCTTCCTCTTCAGCCTTGACTCTCAAATCTCAATCTCTTATTCTTTGGCTCATCTCCTCAACTGTCACAACTCACAACTCACAAGGCAGTCGATCACCTAAAGCTTTAAACACTAAGCAATTTAGCTCAACATGGAGTAGGTAACAGCGTGAGCACTGAGCAGCCGACCTTTGAGTGGGGGTTTCAAATCAAATCAAAACCCATCAATTTCAACAGCTGTATTTGACAAATTAAGGTACTTATTGTGCATTTGTGTAGTAAATATGTGCATTATGAGGTTAAATTTTATAAATGTAATATTAATTTTTAATCTCCAAACCCTAACCAAAAAAATTGGGGGCTGCAGCCTGCGATTCAATATATTCAATTTCCGTATCCCATTCCTTCTCCATTGCTGTACTGGAATTTTGAGGAAATGGAGGGCAGCTCGATTCCTTCAACAAGTGATTCGGTGGTTGGCGCGACAGCTCTAAGAATTGGTAAGTTTCTTGACGTTGGCTCTAACATGTTTATGGGTTTTTCTTTGATGTGAAAATGCACTGATTTCAGAAATTTGCTTTAAGTTGGATTATTAAGTGTTAATTAGCTAGTATATTAATGAGATTAATGAGAATATTCAGTTATGTTCTCTGGAGAATAATTTTGATGCTAGCTTATGCAGTTTTATTTAACGCAACAAATTATTCTAGGAATCAGAAAATTTAAAGACAATCTTCAATACTGTTGGTAGTTCTTTTTTGTCACCCTTTTTCTTTCTTGTTTGCCACGAAGGTTGTTCATTTGAAATATGCCTAAAAGTGCTGTACAAGGACTGATAATATAGCCATTTTGACAGAGTATAATGCGTATGTTAAATCCAATTTCCAGCAATATGCAACTAATTTTTGTTGCCTTTCCCAAAGAGCTTGGTTCTTCAAGTTCTGTTTTTGAACTAACTTCACATGTATTTTGGGTGCATTGACCATTACAATTCATACTTAAGGTGTACATTAAAAACTGAATGATGAAATTGGGAAGCATAATTACCTCTATATGTCATTTTTCTCAAGTATTGATGAATTTAGATATGCATACTCAATTTTTTCAGGCTCAGCAGTCTTTCTTTATTCAAACTGTTCTGAGTCTCTAGGTTAGTTTTAAAAAAAAAATAAAATTGGCAGCTCTCAGTCAAATTTAACATTTGAGTTCTTTCAATCTGACTTCTTTTTTATTTGTAGAATTATGGGTAATGTGCTTTTAGAATTCAATCTATTCCGCTTTTGAGTGTTAACACTCACATCAAATTAAATTTTATTTTCTGTTGTGAGTAATTGCTTCGAGACTGATACAGATTTGATTGATGTTCTCTTTCCCTTTATTATGAATTGTTTTATACTTCATACTTTCATAGCATTGAAATATTATATAAGATCTGAATTTGCTATGAACTTTAGCCCTGATATGAATTTTTTGGAAGCTGTTTTCCAGATTTGGGTGCTTGTGTGTCATTTTCAATTTTTTTGGGAGTTGTTTTCCAGATTTGGGTGCTTGTGTGTCATTTTCTATTTTTCTAATGTTTGTTTGATTTGAATTTAATGTTCCGTGTCAAAATATTTGAAGTGGAACTCATTTTAATGTAAATGTTTGTTTTTCTATTAAAGGCATGTCTATTAGTCCTCCCGAGGTTTCTTCAATACCACATGTGTCTGGGACCGATTCATCCACACCAGTCATGATTGACAGCCCAATATTTGTAAGCCGTGATGCCTGTGATCCCACACAAGAGGGTGGTGAAACACAACAAGAGGGAACCGAAGACACCAATAGGCAGCAAGGAGATGAAGCTGAAGATGATGGTAAATTTCGAGTGCCTAAAAGGAATAAAACTTCTGAGGCATGGGAAGACTTTGATGATTTGGAAGAAAATGGCATATATTATGCCATTTGTAAACATTGTAGTAAGAAACTGAATCGGGGAAAAACTAAACAAACCAGCAGCATGTGGAGGCATCGAGAAAACTGTTCCGTTAGAAAAGCCAAGCTTAGAAAGGCCGAGCAGCAAACAAAGATAAACTTTCAGCAAGCGAATGAGCGTTTTCCAACTGTACCATCATTGCACACTGGCAAATTCGATATGGAAGCAATGAGAGAGGCTGCTGCACATTGGATCTTGATGCACGAGCATCCTTTCACAATTTTGGAGGAAGAGGGTTTCAACATAATGATGAAACGCGGCTGGCCGGAGTGGCAAAAGATTTCACGAATGACAGCTAAAAAAGATTGTACACAGGTGTACGAGATAGAGAAAAAGAAGTTGAAGAACTTGTTGAGGCATGTACAAAAAGTTAGCTTGACCACCGATATGTGGAAATCAAAGAATCAAAAAATTGAATACATGGTGGTGACCGGACATTGGATTGATGGAAATTGGAAGCTTCAGAAGAGAGTGTTAAATTTTGTTCATATTCGACCACCACGTCGAGGAGTTGAGATTTCGGATGCAGTTTTCAAGTGTGCAAAGGAATGGGGAATTGAGGGAAAAATTCACTATTTCTGTGGACAATGCCTCGAACAATGATGTGGCCGTGAGATTGTTGAAAGATGATTTCGGGAGATGCAAGAAGCTTTTGGGTGGAGGAAAACTGTTTCATGTTCGTTGTTGCGCCCATATCTTGAACCTTATGGTTCAAGATGGCTTGAAGGATATAGTAGATATTTGTGAAAATATTCGAGATAGTGTGGATTTTGTGAACAAGTCTGATGGTAGGTCATTGCTATTTGCAGAAATTGCTCAACACCTACAAATTCCTGGAAAAAAATTACTCCATGATTGTAGGACGAGATGGAATTCAACATATGAAATGTTGAATTGTGCTATAAAATATAAAGAGGTCTTTCCTCGTTTTCAAGTGCGAGAGCCCCTTTATGAGTCTTGTCCATCTTCAGAGGATTGGGAGAAGGTTGAGAAAGTTTGCACCATTTTAGAGAAGTTCTACACAGCCACACACATAATTTCGGGGAGTGAGTATCCAACTAGCAATCTATTCCTCCCTGAGATTCTAAAGGTGAAGAAACTCTTGGATGCACGAGTGAATGATGAAGATGATTTTGTCCGGGGTATGATTACAAGAATGAAGCTCAAGTTTGACAAATACTGGAAAGAGTGTAATTTATTGATGTCCATTGCAGCTATCTTGGATCCCAGACAGAAAATGCGAGCAATAGAGTTTGCCTTCCCTAAGATGTATTCCACATATGAAGCTCAACAGAATATCACATATGTTCGAAAAGCCATCTTTGAGCTTTATGACGAGTATGTTGCTATGGCTACAAGTGGAAGTGCAGGGACAGGTTGTTCATTAAATCCTGCATCCGAAATAGTGTGTCCACCTCGAGCAAGTGCTGACTATTGGGATGATTTGGATGAGTATTGTGGTGAACTCGAATCCGATGAACCCCATAAGAGCGAGTTGGTGGATTACCTAGACAAGCCTCGCCAACTTCCTGGACAAAATCCGAAGGATTTCAACTGTTTAGATTGGTGGAAAATCAACCGATCAGCATACCCGGTACTCTCTCAGTTAGCGGCTGATGTATTGGCCATTCCTATCACTACCGTCGCATCTGAGGCCACCTTTAGTGCTGGAACTAGGGTGATTGATTCATACCGTGCTTCACTTGCTCCGGAGACAGTCCAGACGTTAATGTGTGCAGGCGATTGGTGTAGAAATTTACACGGGGTCAAAAAGAAATTGAAAGTAAGTTATATCTATATGAATTTGTTATTGCAGAGATAAATTAGTAGTTATTAGTTTGTTTATTGATTTTAAAGTATTTCATTATTTGCATTTCCACTACCTAAATGCAGCCACAGAAAGCTCCAAAGAATATGAGCTGCCCAATGCTTGAAGTTGTGTAAGGAGCAACTACTTTGCTGAAAATCAGGTCCATCTTTTTGTGAATTCTCATTTTCTTATTCTTAATTTGCCATAAGTTGTGTTCAAATTTTAAATTTAAATTGTACATAAGTTGGTTGATTTGTCATTTGTGTATGGCTAGGTGTTGTAGATTGTACACCGAAGTTTGAAGATGCATAAGGAGCAAACAAGCTGTTTCATTTACCAGATTACAAACAAGAGCTTCTAAATGCTCATTAGACTCCAGAAAATTTCCCTAAGTTTTTCCTTTCAATTGGCTGCAGCACTCCTTTTTGTATTTTCGTGAAATTCTGATGAGGTTGAGAACAGGTTGTTGCTTATGTTTAATGCTGAAATGTTAATGTGGATCATGGCCACTTAGTTTCTGCATGCGTATGGTGTTTCTTTAGCCATTGTGTTTGTCCTTTTGTTTGTCATTGGTTTCTCGTTTGAGGAATTTCTGAATTTTGGAAACTAGAATTCTTGAATCTTGAATCCTTATTAATCTTATTGATTTCCCTGGCATGTTGATTTCTCATCTGAGGTGACTGCTGCCCTTCGTATTACTGATGGTGCATTGGTGCTGTTGATTGTATTGAGGGTATGTGTTCGTGTGTTTTCTTTGCTTTTGGCCGTGTGTTTTCTGGAAAAATTGCCACTGGCATGAAGATTCCCCTGGGCATGTTGATTTCTCATCTGAGGTGACTGCTGCCCTTCGTATTACTGATGGTACATTTGGTGGTGGTTGATTGTATTGAGGATGTGTGTGTCTGTGTGTTTTCTTTACTTTTGGCTGTGTGTTTTCTGGAAAAAGTGCCACTGGCATGAAGGTTAGAATCATGGGTCCCAACTATGTTCCGAGAGAGAAAAAGGACTTGTATGTTATAATGTTAAGACTTAAGAATGTCTAAAGAATAGTTATTTGGATGGGTAAGAAGCAGGAAATAGTTGAGGATGTGCCATGGGGTAACACAGTTGCTATGGTTGGTTTGGATCAATTCATCACAGTTGCTATGGTTGCTATGGTTGCTGTCTCCCCTGTCGTGCGTGTTGCTGGGCAGAGTGCAGTGGAAGGTTGCATCTGATTCCCCAAGCTTGTTGAAGGTTTGAAACCTCTGCCGAAGGTTGTCTGTACTCTATATGCAATGGCATGCTTCTAAGTTTTGTCCATGTGGCTCCAAGACTTTAATTAGCTTCTAAGTTTTGTTTCTTTGAATTGCAATTAATCTTGTTCAATTGATATTAATGTACTTTCATTCGAATGATTAGTGCAACTTAGTGTATTGTTTAGTACAAATTAGTAGTGTTGCATTTAAGATACAAAGACTAGATTCTTTAGATTTGCGTAGGAACCAGAATCAATTCGAGCTCATTCGAGCTCATTCGAGCTCGAGTACTCGACTTGATATCGAGCTCGAATGACATGTCGAGCTCGATCAAGTCGAGTTCGAGTCTGCATATGCTTTTATCGAGTCGATCTCGATCTTTGCTTCTCGAGCTCTACTGATCTGGGTCGAGCTCGAGCTCGAGTACCCCACTACTCGAGCTCGACTCGGCTCGATTTCACCCCTACTCCTAGTTTGGTGGGAGTTAGTTTGCATTGCTTTTGGCCTGGTAAAACAGCACCATTTAGTACTCTAGTGAGAGAAAACATGGGTGAATTGGACAATTAATGAGGGTATAAAAGAAAAGTAGTGTACAGATTTAAACAATGAAAAACTTTTCTTAATTGGTGTGCAAAACCTTAAACGTCAGTTATAAAAAAAGGGAGGGAGTACTTCGCAGGCTTTTCAATTTGAAGTTAAAAATAACAAATAAAAAGGGTTAATTCCATTTTATACCCCTAAACCATATAGTTCAATGTAGTCCAATTAGCCAATTTCTGACAATTAGGAAATTGGATTAATCTTTTCTATGCTTACAGTGTATACACTATTAGCGTTGGATGAAAGACAACTATGTAAAATTTGAATTTGAAATTCAACTTTTGTACACATGTCATGAATCAAACGGTGATAGTGCATACACTGTCAGGATATATAAGATTTATTCAAGGAAATTAACATGGCTTGTAAAGGACCCTTTCACCCTTTGGTAAATTTCTCCATAAAATGCCCTCTCTGCCGAGAAATGGTAACATTTTTAAAAATTATATAAAATTTTTAAAAAAATTTATTGTAACTTTTTTTTTTTATAATATGATGATGTATGTGAGTTAAAATGATAAAAAATTAAAAGAAACGTATTTATCATGTAAACAAACAAAAATATTTTACAAATAAGCCTCAATCCAAACAAATCCAACTTTTTCCCTCCCACTTAGAGCTAAATAAAAGAATTTGCAATATAATGGATAAGGCCGAGTCATCCTTTCTTTTCATGATCTCGTGTTTTCATTTCATCAAAACCTCTCTCTCATTTCAATTGTGCTGCTGCATCCATTCGAGAATCTCATGTTAAATACTCAAATCTCTCAAATTAGGCCACTCCAATGGCTTAATCTTCTCTCAAAAGCTGCCGCAAAAATCTAAATTTGCATTTCTCTCTCAAAACACCTTTGAGCCTTGTTTGTTGAAACCTGGTGGAACGGGACTCACCAAGGCACCCTATACCTTTCCCATTTGGATGTATCCTATCATTAATTCACATACACATAAACCAATCATGTGGGCTCATTTTCTTTAGCAAGTAATTCTATTGACCTATCACTACCTCCGAATCCCATTCTATTGGATCTTAAGCTTTTCTTTTGGTATTAGGTCATTTTTATTGCAATAATCTTAGCCAATTCTTGTGAAATTGGATACTTCATTGACCTATCTTACCCGACTCTATCGATCCTCTATAGATCCTTAGTAGCACCTTTACTTTGGTATTAGATCATCTTCATCGCCTTATCTTGGCCATCCCTTTCCTTTTGTTATTTGATCATCTCTATCGGCATATCTCAGTTATCTCAAGTTTTAGTAAACAATTGCCTATTCAATTTTTCTGCTTCCCATTCAAAATTGTTATACAACATATGTAGCAGTAGTATTTCAATAGAGGTGCTATAACTCAGGGTACTGTTAAGCTTTTGAAAAATTCATATGGTACTCCATCTTACAGACATTCCAAAGGAAAACTTATTTTAAACTATTACAAGACCATGAGACCTCGATGGAAAACTAGTTATAAACTTTGTATCGTGAAACGTTTGCCAAATGAGTCTTAGCCACTTAGCATGCTCAAAGCATGAAAAGTAAGAAATAACAGTGGAGGTGAATGCGTTAGTGGAGCTGGAAGGTACTTCTTTGGGGGCAAGATCTTTTCTTCGACTCTGTCCCATAATCAGGAAGTCCAGCAACCACGAAGCCATTGCACGCCATCTAAAAAAAATTTTCAATTAATATTTCGCTTACATCATTAACATATTTTTCAACCCACCTTTTTATCTCACATACATCATATCACAAAAAGTGCTACAGTAATTATTCCAAATAATATTTCAAATAATACTCTATCCAAACAAACATTTACTTTGTCCAGGATAACAATCGTCAATGTTCTCCATAGCAGAAGAAACAACTTAACAACAAAAGTAATTCCAAGTGGTGTTATTCTTATCAATGAGATCAACTGTTGGATGAAAAAATTTGGATAAAAGATTATTTGGGATAATTTATTGAAAAAAACACTACAATACTTTTTTAATATGATGTATGTGAGATAAAAATGTGGCTAAAAAATATGTTGATAATACAAACAAGTCAGTATGTGTAAATAAAGTGCAAACCAAACACACTAAACTTGGCCTTTATCAAGCATTTTCCTATCCTTGATTGAACATTTAAAAACCGTAGATGTACAAGATATAATGTATTTCATAAATGCGCAGAACCTAGACCCCTAGCATACTACTTATTTGCTTTAGCAAACCTAAGGTAGCGACATTTCTCTCCACTAACTGTGATTTCAAGAGCTCCATCTTGATTATCTTGATTTGATGCAGTTCCCATCAGTACACTTTTCTCTTTCTCAAGGATTTCTCTTTCTAGCTTTAATCTAGCTTCTTGTCGGGCAATCTCCACCTGAAATAGAAACATCATTAAGCAAGAAGTTTAAAGAAATGCTAAACCTTAAAAACTACTCTCACAGTAAATTCCATAGTGTGGTGGAAATAAATATTGAGCTACAAGGTATGAAATTGACTTCGATATGACAAAGTAACATGGATATGAAGTAATGGACTAGTAGTATAGAAAGACAAATGAAAGAACAGATGGGCTCTCATACAACCCATCATAATCCAAATTGCTCGGCGCTAGGCAATCCAAGAGTATAAAATTATTACATGACATGAAAGACTCTGGAAAGAATACTACTATAATTGGACAAAAATGTTTCTGCCTTTGTAGCGGTCAACATAAAGGCTTGATTTGACTCTTTCTTGACTTGGAATCTCCCAAGATCTCAACCAGTCCAACTCTTCATGGAAGGAAAAACATGTATGAGTGGCTTCAATCTAAATTCCTATTATCAACAATTTTGAACCTCTAGCAACCCCCACTTCACAAACTGTTTCATAATATTAGTTGACACAGAACTATCGGTAGTAGGTTTATTATGAAAACAAGCTCATTTAGTTACAATCCACTAGACTAATCCAATAGTTAATTAAGGAATATGCTTCTTGAAAAATCCAAGTTTTCGGGTAGATCCTATGTAGAAGAAATTCATAAAGCTCCTGTGAGTTCATGTGTAAACTTCAGCCTGTGCATAGTCTGCGAAATAATCAAGCAACTATTGTCTGCTCGAGGCCTCAACCCAAAAATCATGTAGACTCTAGATTCATAGAGTGTTACCCAGGTTCAAAGCTTTGTCTATGGAGATTCCATATA